CAATCACTTGACACGGTCCGAGAGGTAGCTAAGTGGTTAATTTGTAACCGCAATTGGCCCCTCGCAAAAGTCATTTTGTCTCGAGTTAACCATGTAGCCAGCACGCAGGCTGAGCAGACCGTTGCCCCTTTTAAAGCGAGGCCAAGAGGTTGCTCAAGCAAGTTTGGCTTGAACACAGTCGACCCAGCCCTGCACTCTTATATGGCCGCGTCCTTTGGGGGAAACTAATAGAAACCCATGAGCATAGGTGTCCCTGTTGGTTGTTTTGCTAGAAAAATAGATGGCCCTGGTTTACCTGGTGGTTTAATCATCTACCAGGGCCATCTATTTCCCCTAAAAGGACACCTATGCCCATGAGAGACCGACCCACAGATTTTCATTCAAAGGGTTCGACACTGAACAACCTAAGCCCCAAAGCGGCGCCCTCTTTCCAGGGGTCATGTGGGAAGCATTTTACATCCTCCTCGCCCAGATCCTGAAGCATGGAATTTGGGGCACCTGGGTGCCCCGGAATTTGGTACGTCTACGGAAAGGCTACAAGTGTGCCTCACAGGCAAAGAACGACTTGAAACATGGGGGTGGGTCAAAATTAAACCACCAGGGGGCCTTTTTGGTTCCCATTGTTGACCCACACCCACATGGGGGTGCTTGTTTTCACGGGTATCCTTTTAGCCCAACCAGCGCGTGACGCGCCTTGCACTTCCAAAAGCGACCCAGAAAGTGTTTTCCCCCTACTCCAAATACCCGGCTTTTTTTTAATGTTATGATGTCGACCCTCTACTAAAAAGCGGGATCGGTATTTACCATAAAAACCAGGTTGTTCCAAACATACCACCTGAAAAAAGTTGGTATTTGGAGTAGGGCATTAGATCAACAAGGCTATCCACCTTGGTTGGAATTCATCTAGCCGATTCGGTGCCGCCGGTTGACAGTGGCTGCGTTTGTGTTCTTTTTCAGTCCTGATGGCTTGCCTTTCCAACTCGAGTGGCTCGAGCTGCTTAGTGGCCAGGATACTGTGCCTTTCTTTTTCCCAAGGGGCTCCATGTGTTGAAGTAGGCAGACCCCCCAAAACTTGGCTCCCAGCCATCCGGTCCCTCAGCCTTTTAGCCTAGTGTTTAGTGGTAGTTTCGATTTGACCCACTAAAAGTTAAACTTTTAACGGGGGGATCTGCAACCAGTCCAGGAAAAAGATGTGGTTTTCCTGTTGGCTTCCTGTCCAACCAACCTGAAAAGGGTACCTCCAAAGCATACCCCCTACTGAAAAATACCCACTTTTTCTAGGGAATCTATTGAAAAACCTGGGCTTCCATGGTAAATACCGATCCCTTTTTTAGTAGAGGGTCGACATGATACCCTCAAAAGAATGGTGTTGGGTGGTTACGGGGTACACTTCCATGGCCTCAGATGGCCTCACACATGGCTTCCACCCCGCGTAGGTCTTGCAACGTGGCGCCCACGCGGTGGACGCCGTCTATCTTCAGGGAGGCAGGGGTGCGGCGGGGCGGCGGTGCGGCGGGGCGGCGCCCCCTAGGCGAGGCGTCTGGATCCCTCCTATTGCTCAAGAATATTTTCGATTTTCCCTTGTTGGTTTTGAAAGGAATTCATCACTGCTGGAAAAAGTTCTTGTTTTTTTAATTATTTTTTTCCTGGGGCCTTAACCAAATGGAAGGATCCCAGATGTGGTGTTGTTTTTTCGTGAAGGATGCCCACTGAAAAAGGTTGTTCGTATTGAACGACCAGGAGTGCAATAATCCTGGTTTAGAAGGCAAGCTCTTTTTTCGCGTTCGCTGAACCAAAGTGAAACACGTACCCTCAAGCACTGCCACACCAGCTTCTCGAGATACTGCTTGGCAACACTGATCAAAGACCATGAACTCGCTTGGGGTGATGTTTCAAGATACCAGATTCCAGAAATCCCCTCCCTCGCCCTAAAAAATGTTTCTTTTAGCTTGGTGGTTCCCAGCCATCCGGTTCCTTAGCTTTTTAGCCTTTTAGCTTTTTAGTGGTGGGTTGAATGGAATTTCCATTCAACCCACTAAAAGTTAGTCACTTTTCGCGGGGGATCAGAAAACGGGCAGCCCAGTTAGGAAGGTGAGTATCGTAGCATGGTCAAGACTCTTAGTGCCGGCATGGCCATGGACTCCACAGATTTCCACAACGAGGATTCCCTTTAGGCCGGCTACCATGGGCGTGGAAGTGTAACATTGGGGTTTGTGTTGGGCGTTTGTCCACCAACCATGTTTTGATTAAAAGCTGAGTTGCATGTCCATGCATGAGCCCATACCCATGTTGGACCCCCCTACAGGCTGATTTCCCTGTAATCCGGCTCTTCATTGACAAAAAACACATGGGTTGTACCACTTTTGGAGAATGTTTAAGAGGAAACAAGCAGGAAACCACCCATTTTGGGGGGGTGCCCCTGTTTCGAGACAAACCAATATATATATAGTTATATTGTACATATTTTGGCACGTATCCATGAGATGCTGCCGAACCACCTGATTGTGATTTCGGGGCCGCACTCCATCGGAGTTTTGACCATCGATGGTTGTCACATCGTTCAATGGGATGCACGGCACTATAGCGCCATTCTGTAAAGTCGATTTCTTACCACCCCCCCCCCCCCCGCGTTTTGCCCGGTTTGGGAGTAGCTTCGGTTTGATTCCGAAAATTGACTTAGACAGTCAGAGTTGCAATTGAAAACTGGGATGAAGCTGGGACAATCCCAGTAACTTGCTGCCGCCGCCCTCTTCATTCTTTGCATTTGGAGGCCATTTGGGTGTGTCTTTGCTTAGGGGCACCCCCAAAAAATGGCTCTTCTCCTTTTGGCCTCCCCTGGAAAACCCACCAAAAAGGTGTTCCAACTCCAAAAAAGACGGGTTTCCCTTGGATGGAAACCCACCAAAACGGTGTACCAACTCCAAAAAAGACGGGTTTCCCTTGGATGGAAACCCACCAAAACGGTGTACCAACTCCAAAAAAGACGGGTTTCCCCTCAGAACCCCCACCAAGAACGGTGTACCCAACTCCGAGAAAAAAAAGAGAAAAAAACGGGAAAAAAAGAAAAAAAAGAAACCGAAAAAAAAAAAAACGAGCCGCCCCTCGCCACTTGTCGCCCAGGTGGGGAGGCGGCCTTTGAGGACTTGAAGAAGCTCGAGGAGTTGCAGCTGCTTTGCCCAGGACGGATGCGGCGGAGCCGTCCATAGCGGGGCCCCAGGCGTTCGGTGTAAAAAAATTTGAGGGTCTCTGAGTTGTGGGCTGACCAAGGCTTGCAGTTGTAGATCCGCAAGCTCCCCCGTGTTTTTCTTGTTTTTTCTTGTTTCGGGTCTTCTCAGATTTCTGGACTGACCAAAGCTTGCTGAAGCCCCAACGATTTTTTATCGTCCATCATCGATCTCCAAGATCTCAGCGGGTGGTTTGGAGTATCGATCTGTTCCCCTGTCTTAAAGGAGATCACTTCCACGACTGGAGTGGCTGAGTTGTCTCAGAGTTGTGGAGTATCGATCTTGCTAAGCAGAGTATCGATCTTGTCTCAGAGAGTGGTGGCTGAGTATCGATCTTTTCCCCCGGGTTGTCTCAGAGTTGTGGAGTGACCGCTGGCTGAGCTTGCTAAGCTGAAAAGTGGCTGAAATGACTATAGTTTTCCGTTTTGTTGAAGGGAACCAGTTCACTGGAAAAAGATGCACTTTGGACCATGAACACTACATCTTTCCAGCCCAATTTGAAACGGTTCTTTGCTTGGGGGTGTCAAGGCAGGAAACATACCCCCATGGCACCAGGGGGTCCCTGGGATTTTGCCAAGACCAGGTGCCCTCCAGGTGCCTCTAGTGGGAGGGAGGGTACGCTTTGACTAGGGCCCCCCCCCGTACCTTTCTCTCCCCTTTTTGGTTGGGAGGGTTCCGCTACTAAAAGAGACTACAGAAGATTGGGTACCCTTGTTCTAGCCTCTCTACTGGAGGACCTAGTTGACCATGCAAAGATGGTTTTGCCTTTCTTTCTCTTTTTGGGGGGAAGAGGGGCGAGGGGGAATGTTCTGGTGGATAGAAGATCCTATGTCTTTGCTTTCAAAGCAGGGGGATCTGTTTTGTAGGATGTTTTGCATGAATCAACCAACATCAACCTCATCAACCGACAACCTCAACCGACAAACAAAGAGTATCTTTCTTTCGAAATGACAGTTCACAATCTGATCTTGTTTTTGTTATTTGCGTGTACCCATGCGTAAATTCAACGGGGGTGAACAATTTTGAGGCACGCCCATTCTTGTTAAACTCAGATGGCGTTTGTTGTGTTGTTCTTGCCCCCCCCCCCCCTGCACTCAGCCTGGTAGCAAACCCTGTGTTAAACGTCCGCACGCCCAGCCGAACGCATCACAGAGGGCATTGTTGGCAGCAAGGTATAGCAGGGTGTTGCAATTTGAAGCCATAGGAACAAATCAAGAAGGCTTCTTCATCAGGCATGTTACAAGACCCAGGCACGTAGTTGATTGCCCGTATGCTCAGTGTTGTTTGACCGTGGCGAGCTCTTGTCAACATCCTGCGTGACTCGCATGCCCCAAAGCGAGCCCCGTGAGCACGTGTTGCAGTCGATCCCACAAAGCAGTTTCCTAGAATTGCGGGCATTGTCTTTTCCCATCATAGGCGCGCTGTTTGTTGGTGGTAGAAAGAATTAGATGGGTTTCACTGGATTAGATTGGTTATTTATTCCATCTATTCCATCTACCGGGGCCATCTATTTTTCCGAAAGGTCACCAGTGTTGCCCTTGATGATGCGTGTTGGCTGGCAAAATCAAGGACGCGTGATGACCCATTCGGCTTGACTCGAGGGTCCTTTCTTGGAAATGCTGTGCAGAGGCACATGTTGGATTTGCCCCCTTGACCTAAGTGAGCTGCTTTGTCGTGTCTTTCTTTGGGGGACACCCCAGCATACCGTGTTGGTTTCGGAGCTCTATTGGTTTGTTGCGCACCTCAATTTCCGCTTGTGGACAAATGTGTATGTGACACAGTGAATGCTTGGAGTCATGTTGAATTACCTCCAACTACTCCACAGGGTGGGACTTTGTGCAAGGAGTTGCTCTGGGTATCTCGTATTGGATGATGTTTCAAAGCCAACAGCTAGCTGACTATAATTTGAGGAATCTCCGTGGATTTATGTTGCGTTTGTTTCTTTTTGTTTGGTCTCAGGGATCCTTCAATTATCCTCTTGAAAAAGGTGGTGAAGCAAACCTTAGGGGTCACCTCAACATGATTCTTCCATTACCATTTGCTTAAACATATGTGTTCTATTATTATTTTCCCCTGTTGGTTTTAATGACGTCGACTACTGGAAATATTTTCATGTTTGTCCAGGGGCTTGAGCAAATGGAAGGATTGATTCTCCTTTCGGGGCGATGATTTTCGGTGACACAAAAAAAGGCATCGCGTATTTTAGTTTGAGAGGTGGCTTGACTCATGCTATGCATGCGGACGCATCGCGCCTTTTGTTTGAGGGGTGGTTGACGCATCCTAAGCTGCACGCTTGGGCAAGATTTGTTGGTTTTTTCATCCACCAGACCCTGGCCCCTTTTGAAGGACAGTGGTTTAAGCATGCGGTCAACAAGGGGCTGGCCCGACCCAAAAGACCAGCCTTGTAGCAAGTGCGGTAGTAGGGGATGCAATTTTGCAGGGGCCAAGTAGCTGGACCCCCAAAAGACCCCTTTTTTCTATTTCTTTTTGGGTGAAAGGCAACAAAAAGGGAACTTTGGGGGGTCCAGGTAGCTGGATGTCCGTTCGGTTTTTTTTTCCAGGGGTGGGGCAAGGGTGTTGCAGAATTGAGCCAAACCAATGGGCCAATGGGTCTGTCTCCTTAAATGGGTTTGTCCGTTTGTTCGTTGTGATTCCATGGTGCATCCCAAAGATACAGTGGATGGAAACACGAAATCCTCTTAGGCACCACTTTGAAACCATGGTTGAAGCCATTGCTCGTTGGGAGGTGCAGGGGAATCAACATTCCAGGGTTTTTTAGGTGGTGCGAAATGGATTTCGCAACCACAGCACCTTCTCCCTCCAACAATGGCGGAAGCTGACGATACGAAGGTGCCGGAAGACTGGAACTCCTTTTGGGAAGCCTTCTATCCCCTCCCATGATCACGGTTGTTGTTGGGAAACATTTTACATTTTTGCTTATGGTGGTTTAGTGATTGAAATCCATCTACTGAACTGCTAAAAATGATATATATATATATATATGTCTTTGCTCCCCTTCCAACGTCAACCAAGTGATTGGAGGAAGGGCACCCCCAAGAAAAAGCACCCAATTGTGTGTGTGTGTGTGTGTGTTTCTTTTAGAACACTTCCTCAAGATGGCGCAGCATTCCTTTTTCGGTTTCCTGTTTGGTTCCCTGTAACACCCACAGAAAAGGGGTGCCAGCTCCAAAAACGACACCCCGCATAGTAGCCAAGTTGCCGGGTTCCTGGCAGGCAAGGCCTTACGCGCCGTATCTCTAAAAACAGGCCACCGCCAATTGGGCGCCTTTTGTTGGGGGGGGGTGCCCTTCCTCCAATCACTTGGTTGACGTTGCAAGGGGGAGCAAAGCAAAAAATATATATCATGTTTAGGAGGTCAGTGGATGGATTTCAACCACTAAACCACAAAAAGCCAAAATGTAAACAATGTTTCCCAGCAAAAAGACATACCCAAAGTCTCACTGCTCGGGAATGAAAAACGGAATGAACCGTTTTGGGAATCTCCCTGAAAAGACACCTAGGTCCCCGAGTAGTGCCCTTTTACCATTTTTGGGGGGGTTCCCCTACTAAAATAGACTACAGAAAAAAGTTGGTACCCTTTTCTAGCCTCTCTACTGGAGGACCTCGGAAAAACTAACTCGGGAAGGGTTTTTGTTGGTGGCTCCCAGCCATCCCCTTAGCATTTTAGCCTTTTAGTGTTTAGTGGTAGTATCCGTATTTGACCCACTAAAAGTTTGTCGCTTTTCGCGGGGGATCCGAAAACGGGCAGCCCAGGTTTTCTCGTTGCTCCATTTCTCCATTCCCCGCAGAACTCTCGCACCAAGAACTCTCCACCTCTCCACTTCTCCAGAATTAGCTCCCTTTTTGTTTTCTTTTGCTTTTTCGGGGTCCCTTTGTTTTCCACAAACCAGGCAAAAAAACAAAAACAAAACAAAAATTCGGGGTCCCTTTGTTTTCCACTAACCAGGCAAACAACATATATTTTGTTGCTGGGGTCCGATTCTTCCAGCCTAGTCCAGGCTGCCGCGTGGTGGCGGACTGCGCGCTGCTGCCGGGCGCGCCGGGCCTCTTGTGGCGCATGCAGCGAAACCTGGCGCCGCGGCAAGGGACCCACCGGCCCTACGGTGGATGGAAACACGAAATCCTCTTAGGCACCACCGTTCAGAAACCCTATGTTGATTCCCCAACGTAAATACCAATGAACGTTCTGGTTTCAACCATGGTTTCAAAGTGGTGCGAAATGGATTTAGTATAGGAGTCCCCAGTTGCAACCAGTGGCTGGCGGTGTTTTTGTTCAACTTGTTTCTGGAGTTTGGGGTTCGTAAAGTCCACCAAGCCAAACAGGACGCCGATTCCTTTTGCCCCAAAGGCCACCGGTGGCATTCGAGAGTCCGTCCTTTTCTGTTGATCCATTGATCCAGGTCGCAAGCGGTGCAAGATACGGTCAAGGCCTGTTCCCGGGGTCGAAGCCACTAGGGCTATGAGTTTGTGTTTGTTTGAGTTGGTGCTCCTGTTTTGTGGGTTTGAGTCGGAAATCCATGCACCGGTGGGTTGAACGACTTTTTTGAGTTGGTACCCCTGTTTCAAAGGAAAACCAACTGGCAACCCGAAGCCATTTTGGGGTTGGCCCCTAAAAACGACAAAGCCAAGAGGACAGCCATTTTGTGGGCCGGTCCCCCAGTTTGAGACACACCCAGATGTCCACCTTTTTGCTGGCATTTGCACATCACCTGTTTGGGATCCCCTAATCAGCTGAGGATCAGTGCCTTTTCCGCCCAGACTTCCAGTGCCCACATGTCGGATTTTCAGGTTCCGCTCGTCAGCTACCCACATTGCCTTGCTTCCATTTTGCCTCATCACAGATTGTCTAAGCTGGGTTGCACCTCCAAACCAAAGTTACCCCCAAAGAAAAAAGGATAGCATTTGTCTGCAGCAAAGTCTTGCCTCTTAAAAACACAACTGTTAAACTTTTTGGGTAACATGGGCTATATGTCTGTAAAAGATTAACTTCCCCCCAGGGCTTGGAGTTTTAAGGGGTAAGTGGAATTATTTTTGGCTGTCTATGCCATTTATTTTCTGGGGGGTAGTGGCTTACGGGAGTAGAAGTCATGGAGATGGGAACAGCAGCAGAAGTGGCAGAGTCTTCTCGGGAAGCAATTTTTAGTAACTAGACGGTTGGTTTGAAGAATTCTGGCAGTTTCCTTTATGTGAACGTAAGGTTCCACGTGGAGCTGGCAGGACATTGTTTTAAGCTCATGTGTCTTGTTTGATTCCTGAAAACACACAAGGGTGTGTAGTGGAACATGGCAACCTCACAGTGCTTCTCCGCAAGGACGGCAAATTTACAGGTGCTCTGTTTCTCGATTAAAAGAAAAAGCTGGATTTTTCAGTGAACAGTTCGAGGTTTTGTGTGGAGCTTGCGAGTTCAAAATAGAAGAACAAAATCGTATGAGAAGTGAACCTTAAAGGCCTTGTTTTTTGGGCATCACACCGGGCATCCATCGAACAGCTGCGACGGAGCCTGGTCTTGTGGCCAGTTGCTGGAGCGCTCATTGGGGAAGCTGTAGAAAGCCATTTGCTGAAATGTTTTTTTTTTTTTGTTTTTTTTTTACCCCGGTTGGTTTTAAGGGAATCTATCACTACTGGAAATAGTTTTTTGTTTTTTTGTTTTTTTTTCCAGGGGACTTAAGCAAATGGAGGTAGAAAATCTGTAGTTCAGAACAAGAGCTCGTGTTATCAAAGCCTATTTTCCCAATCGACGGGAACCGCGTAGACTCGCAGAAACCCTGCAGAACAACCTAGAGAAAAGACGGTTTCAGATGGGAAAAGGGTTGGTGCTTTACCGATAAGGGCTTTTTAAAGCGCCATGAACACGTTTCAATGAGTTTCCCGGAGTGACGGCATGTTTTGGTCTAACACTTAATTCAGTGTCATTTGGACTCGGCACACTTGACATTCCCGCTAAAACCTCGGCTTTGTCTTGAGGCCAACTCTTGTGTTCTCTTTGGTACATTTCTTTTTCGCGAAAGCCAAAACATGGTGGTTGTTGGGAAACATTTTACATTTTTGCTGATTGTGGTTTGGTGGTTGACATCCAACCACTTAACTGCTAAAATTTGACAATTTTTGCTCCCCCCCTACTCCAAATACCCGGCCTTTTTCTAGGGTATGTTTTGGAATACCAGTTTTTTCAAGGTAAATACCTCCTTTTCTACTAGAGGGTCGACATGATACCCTTAAAAAAGTGGGTATTTGGAGTAGGGGGTAGTTTTAGACACATGCAACGCCACCGTTCGACTGTTTTTGCCCCGAGGAACTCATCGAGGTGCCGGACTCATCTGCGATCGCACGGGGATTTGCGTGCCATAGGGCTTGGGATTCCTTTGTCCCGCACATATGGGTGTTGGCATAATATCCATTTTGGCGTCATGTACTTGCCCACATAAATTTAGAGTTGTCGCAAGCGCTAGGCGAGTGAACATTTTAATCTTCTCAAAGTTTGCTGGGGGTGGTTTTCCTTTAGACCAGGGTCCCTTTAAACATGTCACGTACAGATGCGTGTGGTCTCGAAGGCCAGCTGAAGGTCTCGAGGCACATGAGTTGACTCAGAAAATTTCTCGGTTCTTGGTTCCGTTTTTGGGCGTCTGGTTCTGTTTTGGCGCTTTTGGAAATGGTAGGGGTTTAGTGGAAGTCTACGGTTTAACCCACTAAAAGTTAAGCTTTCAGCAGGGACCTGAGGACAGCGCATTGTTGTCGCACAAAAAAGAACAAGGGGACTCACCAGTTGCCCCTTGTTGTTTTATTTGGGGGGGGGAAAGATGTTTCGTTTGTTCGTGGCTCACATGTGAAGCATCCACTCCAGCAGATCGCAAGCGCTGGACTGGAACAAGATGCGGTGGGTAAGGCTGTCTGTTCCCATGGTCAAGGGACCCCCAAGTCATCCTTTACCCACACAAAGGGAGTTGTGCCATCTACTGCCCGATGCACCCCACCACAAATTTGTGTGTAACCCCCTGTAAACCCCAGTGTACACCCTTTTAGCTCGATTGTTCCCAAGCTCTCGGATGTTCAACCTACTGAATGCTTAGGTTTGTAGCAGGGCTCCTTAAAAGATCTCCATTTTGCAACCATTTGAACCATGTGTTTCTTTTTCCACCAAAATAGATCTGGACACCAGCATGTACAAGTTGCAATGTTCAGTGTTTTTTTTTCATGTAAGGCTCCCTGTGTAGTTATGGTTATATATATATATATATATCCCAGGAATCACTTCCCTGCCGGTGGAATGCCCAAGTGCCAGGCTTCTGGACTGTCCCCAAAATGGCGAGCCATAGTTCTGAGTCAAGAGAATCTGCAGGACATGTGTTGCCCACATACCCGGTATACTAAACTTCCCGGGAATCAGTTCCGCTTCTTGTTTTTAGCTTTTTGCAGGCAAAACAGATCTCCTTTTTTGCTGGGGTGCCATTTTTCCAGCCTAGGCAACCGGCACTTCCCATAGACGCCTAGTTTCTGGGAATACAAGGGCACAGGTCATGGAGCTGCTCCTAGCACTCCCTCAAACGCGCCGCCCTCATGTTCAGGGGGGTCTTTTGCCACTTGTGAGGAAATTGCCGACCCCCTAAAAAAGGAATCCTTCACTACGAGGGGGTCGATCAATTGTCCACAAAAGGTGGCAAAAAGACCCTCCTGCTCATGTTTTCCATGTTTTGAGGCACACCTAAAGGCAGCTAGCCATAGACCAGTTTCCGCTTTGGATGTCTTTTGAAGATGTTTGGCCGCGGGATTTATTCAGTTCGGGGTCTCCAGCGATTCCAATTTAGAGACTGAACTCAACCGACCGTTTGAAGGGTTCTTTTATCGAAACCGCCAGCATCATTGATACGCGCGAAGCGGGCAAAGTCCAAATGACTTGCGAAAGTCATTTTACGAGAGCAGATCAAATTATTACAACTTCTTGGTGGGTCAATGCCTTTGCGCATCGCTTCGTTTGCAGCCTGAGCAAGGTGCAGGAGCCAGGTTTTCCTCCTGGAGAGGCACGCGTTTTATGGGAACGCAAACCGTTTTGGGTGGGTGCTGCGCAGTTTGTAGCAGTTTATTGTTTGACCTAGGCATGGCGTTTTCAGGGTGACCTTTTTGGGGCTTGAAAGGAATTTAGCCAAAGGAACCATGTGTTGGGGCAAACCGAGTTAGTTGCTTGTGCGGGGAGACTTTGGTCCTCCTTTTGAGTCATGTGATTCATTGTGCAGAGCTGTTTTGCTGACGGACTAGCAAAGCAAAATGAATTAAGGATCGTGGTTCATTCCCCATTCTTTTCAATAACCAGCTGTTTTCGCTGGGGTTCGGACATTTTGCTGGAAAGAAGGATCCCTGGAAAGAATGGAAATGGAAGTGTAGAGGAATGCATTCCTCTAGGAGGAGCGTGGACATGGTGCATGCGTTTGTGTAGACCCAGAGAATCTCGGCCGTAGTGCTGAGCAAGCCGAGCAGGCGCCCAAATGGCTATGATCAAATCACTAATAGGCTGTGCCTTTTTGCGGGTACCCTTTTTGGGGTTGGGTTTCAATTTCAAGAGAGCGCAAAGGGAAGCCAACGTGTGTGGGGTGAAGTTTGTTAAGACACACCCAACTACCACAGTTTCAGGTGGAACAGGGGTTGCTTGACTATTGGACAGGCTTGGTTCAAAATCATCTGTAGTCCTGCAAGATGCTAAGCCACAATCAAAACCTGGGTAGATGAAGGTTAGTAAGGGGCGGTCCCAGCCAGAAATAGTTGCGGCCGCCTTCTTAATTCTTTACATGATTCTGGGTAGACCATTTTAATACTGGGTGTTGATTGTGACTATTTCGTGGTTTCCCTTGCATGGCGTCCCACTACAGATTACGGAGGATTAGGGATCCCCGCCCATTTTGAAGCTGAGTTCAAGGCTTCGGGGGCGTGAAGCCTTCTCATTGTGGTTCTTAGGTGTCTGGGTTCAGAGTTCAGGCGGTTTACCTGGTGCTGGAATAAATCGAATCACGCTCCTTTGGATTGATTTGGGAAATCAAAGAGCCAAAGGACTACCTGGAGTCTCCCTAAGGACCCGAAATAAAAATGGTTGGTCATTACCCAAAAAAATGGTTGGTCATGGACCCATTTTTAGTTCGGATCAGAAGGAGACTCCAGGTAGACATTTCGAAGATTCACAGCTTCGGTCAACATGTCTGAATTTGTCGCTGGGACATGGTTGGAGTTTCCGCCCAACCCAAAGGCCAGGGGACATGGTCGAAATTTCAGTTCTGTCCTGCTGAGAAAACAAGTATGTTTTACCGCGGCTCACATGGCCACTCCATGTTTTTTGGTTTCCGAAGTACATGTCCCAGCACCCTTCCCCCCCCCCCCCGCTGCCGAACATGTAGTCGTCTGAGATCGCTAAGTGGTCATGCGACTGCTGCTTCTGCTTTCGGTACCAAGGGGATTGACCTGACAAAAAGGCAGTTGTTGGTCCAAACCAGGGTTCTACTTGTGGACTCCCCCCAAACAGAGAAAACAACCCAGTGGTCGATTTCCCTAAACGAACCAGCCGGGTTTAAGAAAAAAAATGCCTCGTCCGGAAGTAGAGCCCCGATCCAAACCGTGGGCTATGATTGGTCGACCCACTGAAAAAGGGATCGGTATGTACCCATGGAAACCCGAAGGGTTGTTTTCAGAAAATCCAACTAAGAAAAGGCCGGCTATTTGGAGGTTACGGGGGTTTGGGCCACGAGCAGCACTAGGTCCCCCAGTGCCCTTCTCTTTCCCCTTTTTGGGGGGAGGGTTCTCTTACTAAAATAGACTACAGCAAAAAGTGGGGAGCAACTTGTTCGAACCTCTGAAGGTATTGATTTACCATGGGTTTACCCTGGCTTTTCAGAAAACACCCACTAAAAAACTCCTCTGAACCATGGAAACCCAGGCTTTTCAGGAAAAAACAAAAACTACTATAAAAATCCTGGGTATTTGAGGAGGTTACGGGGTGACATGACACGCCTCGGCTTCGGCAGAACTGGTGGGCCTTCTGGCGCTGGTCGGAGTCTTCGCCTCCGGCTGCAAGTCCTCAGTTGGCCCGCCTGGTGGCGCGGGGCCCGGCAGACGGACTGCGTGTCGCTGAGCTGTAAATGAGGCAATGAACCTGGGGATTCGCGAATACAGAGGGAAACCAGTGGGATTGAATTTTTAACTTACTTCCATTTGCTGAAATGACTGGTTTTGGTTCTTTTCCTTTTTTCCCAGGTTGGTTTAAAAGGAATTTATCAGTACTGATTATTTTTGGTCTGAACCAAATGGAAGACTTGAGTCACTTTCTGGATGTTTGGACCATTTTAAGTCAATTATCACGATGACATTTATGGCCCAGAGGTACATGAGGTAGGTTCCCATGTAGTCAGTTGCATGTTGTACATTCAAGTCATTGCCAAAGCATGATTCAATCACTGCTTTGGCTCAAGTGCTGAAAACAGCGCGTTGCACCGCGCTAGCCCCAAGGTTAAGGGAGAGGTCGCAGTCACGGAGGGGTTCGTTCCTTTTAAGGTCCCGGGCTCCCCCGTTGTTGACAAAACTGTGTTTCCCTCTCCTTTGAGTGGTTATCAGCCGTAACGCTTTTCGGGTAAACGAACCCTTTCGTGACTGCGACCTGTTGGTCGCACATGGAAGTCGGCCCTCACCGCGGCACACGCGGTGGGAAAGGGCCGCGTGCCCGATTGTACAACACTCTGCAACAGATCGTCGTCGACGAGTACAAGCGGCAGAACAGACGATTCCGGTGGATCAGGTTTGCGGACGCCTCGAAGCAACAGGTCGAGGCGCTCTTCTCCTGGCGTGAGTCACTGGATAGTTGGCACCTGTGGAATTTTGACCAAGAAGCCTTCGACGTGATCCAGGCCGCGGACAACGCTTATCAGCAGCGTCTCGCATTGGTTGAAACCACAGGAGTGGTATTGCCGCAGGGTGCGCCATCTCAGGATCAAGCCGCAGCCTCAGGCGCGGCGGGAGCATCAAGCAGTGCAGCGGACTGGCTTCGTCCTCCGACGCCTCCATCAGCTTCCTCCTGGTTGCAAGATTCGCGCACTCCTTTGCCTCGCATTCGGCCATCTGCAGAGGAAAGACAAGCCGCAAAGTCAACTCTTCGCGGGGTATACGCTAAAGCTGCGGAAACGCGGCGGGAGAGCAGCAGGGAGCGATCAACACAAAGATCGAGGTCCCCATCGCCACGAAGGTCGAGGTCTCCGTCAACGTCGCCGAGACGAGGACCAACTGCTGCTGCCCCTGTGGAACAAAGGGCTCATAGTGTTGAACCCGCGCTTGCGCGGGAGGGAAGGCCATCCAGAACCTCCCTAGCCACTCGGCCCATCGTTTTGGCTCCACAGAATAGCATCTACCCTGTGACGAGGTTTGACGAACACGGCACCTGGGTATTGGTGCGGGAGGCATCACAACCACGTGAAGCGGCTCCTCATCGGCGAGCGCAACGGACGTCTGGGCAGCTTCGCCAGATCCTTACCTCCTCGCTGACGAGACGTGGAGGGACCCGCCAAGGAGGTCCTCCACGAGCTCACGCTCACGGTCTCCTGACCGCCGCCCGGCGCCTGCGGAAACCTTCCGCCTCGACGCCTACAGCTCGGACGAGGACCCACCGCAAGACGCGGAGTCCATCAGGACGGGCAGGTCAGCACACGTGCCTCGGCGCGTTTACGAGGCGCCGACTCACTCCGAGCCCATCGCGCTTCACAGCCGAAGAATCGGGGCAGTTCAACCGCCGCCCCCAAAGGCCGCTCCCAAGGTCATCTTCGGCAGCAAGCCACCGGTGCCCAAGGAGGTCCCCAAGGCAGTTTCTCCAGCTCCTGCAAAGGCAGACATCCCGAGGAAGTCACCGCCAAGGGCCAGATCTCCGGTTCGGACTCAGAGTGCATTCGGTTACAAGGCACCTCCGCGAGGCTTGAACAAGGCCGAACCCAGAAGCAAATCGAGCTCAAACCCGCCACAATTCGGGTACATCGTCAAGCCGCCACCTCCGCAGGTCGTTCAAGCAGCTGCTGCTAGCGCTGCAACTCCTGAAGCTGGCACGCGATTCCGCTCGCCACCAAGGAGGGCACCGCCTGCGCCCCCGCCGCCACCACCTCCGCCTGGAAGGCCGGTGCCGCCCAAGGAGCTTGTTGTTGCTCTTGACTGGCACGGAGTTCTTGACGTTGGGCAGCAGGGACCCCACCTCAACCCGGAAGTGATCCGACATCTCGTTCAGTTTGCAGCGGACTACGCACCTATAAATTTTATAGTGCTATCCTTCGTGGGCAGGGCTGCAAGCGAGTATCGCCGCCGCGAATTTCAGGTCGCCCTGGAGCACGCGCGGACAACATCTGGACTCACTTTTTCTGCGATAAAAATCGTTCACGAACGGTTGGGAAGGGGAGGCAAAGCAGACGCCCTGCAAGGGCTGGGCGTACACGCCCTTATTGACGATACAGCATCGATTGTCCGTGAAGCTCAAAAGACAGGCATCGCGGCGTTCCGCAATTATCCGCACTTCGGTCCGGGAGGTTTTGGCAACGCACTTGAGAACCTCGGTGAGTTCATTGAATCCCGGAACAGACAATTTATTCCGGCGGCGAGGGGCTTGCATCCATCGCAATACCTCGAGGAACTCCACCGATCTGCATCTCAGCTACCCGCCAGCCGGGTACTTCGGTAGCTATTGCTGCAAGCCGTTAAAACCGTCGCTTTGCGCGGTACAGCTTTTGCAATTACAAGCTTTCGATTTGCAGACAAATTCTCAATACAGCTTGGCAACATCCCTCGATAAAGCACCATAGTGCGGCAGTGCGGATCAATCAATCTACAAGTACAATTACAAATACAGAATTCATCAGGTGCAAAGCAGCAGGGCGCATTTTCTTGAGTGGCTCACTTGAGCGTTTCGCAACGTATTTTCTTGAGTGGCTCACTTGAGCGTGGCGCAATCAGCTGCCAATCCAGGGATATCTCCTCGTAGCACCTTTTGACACGCTGCTCAAAGCGCGTGGAGCTAGCTTCGTGTGAGTGCAAAAGTTGCATTGCTGTGTCATGGCTTCAACGGGTTTGTCACCGCCATCAGAACCCCGTTCAAGGTCAACCCCAAATAGGGATTCTGAACCGGATGACCCTGACCTAGCCATGGTTCCCGCAGTTATGTCCACAGTTCGCACATCCACACCTCAAAGAGCAGCCCAAACACGACCATCATCACCCCCGAGTGGTCCGATCGTGTCAGAACCGACATCATCCGAAGCTTCCCCAGTCATTCAGTTTCCTTCACAGGGATCGCAGTTACCTGACCCGATGACTAACGTACCCGCTGCGGCATTTATAGCTGGAGCTGCGGTGCAGCAAGCTCATCGAGCATCCGACCTCGCTGCTCAGGCAGCCAATCACGCCTTGCACCAACAGCAGGCCGCCGATCAGGCGAGACAAGAGGCCGGATGGATCAGGGAGAGGGCTGTAAGAGAAGTTTCAGACGTTAGGGTTCAGGCCGCTCAGCTAGCTTCGCAAGCGCAGCAGGCTGTTCAAACAGCACAACAAAGTGAGGCTCAGGCTAGGCAACTCATTGAGCAGACACGACAGGAAGCCTTAGGCCATGTCGAGAACGCACGACAGGTTGTTAATGCCACTCAACAGGACGCTCAGCAAGAGGTTCAACGCATTGTTCAAGAGGCTCAACAGGCAATCCTACAAAGGGAGCAAACCATTGCCAGTCAAGAGCATACCATTCGTGGATTGTCCCAGGAAAATTCTGTGATGCATCAACGACTTGGTGATCTCGAACGTGTTGTTGCGCAGCTCACCCAACAAGCTCGTGCGACCCCTGTTCCGATGCAAGAGTCCCCGCCAAAAGCCGCATCAATAGCCGAAACAGCTACGGAAACAAGCGCGGCTAAAGCCTCAAGTCAAGGCACAGTTCCCCCAGGAACCCATCAGCCGGTTGGAGCACCTCAGGTTTCAAGTTCACAAGATGCCTCCGGTGTTGCCGCATCGTCGCAAGGGAATGCTTTTACAAGTACTATCCCCGACCCTCCGTGTGGTTCTGTTCAAAGTTCAGGACTTGGTCACGATGCCCCAGCTGATTCAAGGGACCCTGGTGGGGGTGCAACAAGTCAACATCTCGTAGGCCATTCGGCAGTGCTAGGAGCAGCGTCCTCTGTTGGAGACGCAGCCCCCGGCGCGTCGAGGACTAGCGGGTTGGGTAGAGACGGTCCAAGGGATCAAGCCGATGTGAGAGTGCAAGTGACGGCTTTAGCGGAAATGGTTCAGCAGCTTTCCCAATTGGTTGCTAATCAAGTGGCTCCGCCACCTCCGCCTCCGGCCGCACCACCTCCAGTGCCTCCCATTCCCCTTTCTGGGGCGCCGCCTCCGCCGAAAGCTGGCAATGGCACTCATGTTCCACCAGTACCAATCACAATGTTGGGAGGGTTATACTCGTCATCCCCACAAGCGCCATCGGCAGCAAGCTCCGACACATCATCAGACTCTGATGGAGATGATGATACCCCACAATGTCGAGTTTGCGGCGGCAGCCATGAAGACACGGATTGCCCATACCTCACCATGAATGGTGGTGGGGGAGGTGGGGGAGGCCCTGGCCAGTTCCCCAATGCAGACCCGTCTCAAGCTGCCGATCCTAGTGTAGGCATGACCGTCACCGATCACGCCACGCATCAAGGACCTCAAGGATCTCGTGTTGCCATCCCCTCCGGAGAACGCTGGTCAGGCTAGAGGTTTCATCAACCAAGTTTTGATGGCCATCGGTCGACTCCAGAAGACCCCCGGAGATGAAGTTTACCAGTGGGCCCAAGCATGCATGTCCTCCACCGAGCAAGAACTCATCGCGGACAAGCGTTTCCCACGGTTAGATCGTGAAATAGCCGCAAAGCTCCTTAAAACCTGCCGTAAAGGTAAGTTCGGGCTCTTGTTTCAGAATATGGTTGAACAAGAGAGAATCTCGTCAGGTGGGATGCCCGTAGGGAGAATCATGTTGCGTGCTATCTTCAAGCACTTTCAGTTAGAACGAGGTAGGCTCGGATCCTTAGGAGGTCGCAACTTGTTAAAGTTGTCTCTTGCAGGCCCGTCCCTTGCTGACCTGGATGCCTTTCGGGAGAAGTACGTTTACGTGCTGACCGCAATTCCCGTGGCAGAACAACCCAGGGAAACAACCTTGTTTGATCACCTGCTGGATGAGCTGGAAAAGTGCACCTCGCTGAAGCCTAAGGTAGAAAAGGCACGGGAAGCCCCTTTCGGTAGCCACCGTAGGAAGCCGGAATGGTTGTGGTCCAAGGTTGATCTAGCCTTGGAGCTCCATCAGGACAAGCGGAACAGGGATGAGTTTGACAAAAGTCTTCAAATCAAGCCAGCCGTTATGTCCCAGGGGAATAATTCTAATGCCATGCCCGCAGCAAGCAGCGAAGACAAGCCCAAGAAAGTAAGAAGAGCAAAAAGGATAAATCTGCTGACCAGCAGACTCCGGCAGCCCCCGCGCCGAAGGTTAAAGCTCCAAAGCCGCCTCCTCCTAAAGCTAATGCAGCTCCAGCCCCCAAGGGTAAAGGTAAGGGCGGTTCGAACGATAACCTTACTCCTAGGTCTAAGGCCATCAGTAAGACAGCCACTATGACCGCGGCGGAGAAAGCCAAGATGCCGTGCATGTTTTATGCCTATAATTCGTGCAAGGCCAAGCAGTGTGCATTTCTCCACAGTGATTCCAACAAGTACACTGGTCCCAAGCCCAAAAGTTTGTTGTCCCCGCCGCCGCCAAAGGCGAGTGCAGCTGTTGCACAGCTCATTCCGGCAATGGCAAGCGTCGCCTCAGATGACAATCGCATTAGTTGGCTTTGGGATACTGCCGCAGGGAGACACTTGATCGGACGTCAAGCTTTGAATAGCAACATGATCAAGTGCGTGCGCGAGAGCAGCACACCCGTAGGTTTTGCGACTGGGGGTGGTGCCCAACAAGGCACTACTTCATTAGGGTTCGAGGACAGCCGAGTGATACCTGCTGAAGAGCAGGTGTACGTCCTCCGTGATTGCCCACCAGCGCAATCCATCGGTAAGACCGTAATGGATCAAGGACACCTTTTCATTTGGGATCCACGTGAAAACGTTCCATACCTTGTGCCCCCAAAGGACATCAGTAGATGTAAGATTAACGTGCCCCGCAATGCGCGCATTAATGCATCTAGGGTAGTGGAATACGTTCCCCAATATGATGAAGTGGTAAAACCCAAGTTGGCAGAGTCGTCAACTCACCTCTGGCCGATTGAAGCCGCTGCTATGAGCCTGGAGATGCATTTCACCCGTAAATGTCGGCCGGATCCCCATTTCACCCTTAAATGCAAATTTAGTCATTAAACGCCTTTGCCCTTGTCCAAAACATGCCACGTGGAAGACATGTTTTCGCAACAAAAACTTGCTACAACAAGTAGCGCCTCTCGAATCAAGTTTTGATTGGGTTCAACTGCGTTGCGTTAGTCATCGCCCAAGCCAAGCGCGCTTGCGGACACTGGGCCCCATGCTTACAACTCTGTAACTCTGCCTCACCGTTTGCCGCAGCTCTTTTTGCTGCCCCGGACTTGCTGCCATCTTTCAATGTGAGACGACGCTAGTCGCTAGTTCGCGGCCCGGTCCGTGCACGTGTGCATGCCAAACATGAGTGACCAAGGAACAAGCTAGATGCGTTCGAGCAAGACATGCGTGAGACATGAGTGACAAGCGTCAAGACATGAGTGGGCATGAAGCCAAGCAATCACGCACGGTGCAGCCGGGCAAGCAGCACCGCTTGGTACTTTGCCGGGAGCTGAAGAAGCCAGCGGCGCAGCGTTTGCACGGGAGCTGTGACCACGTGGGTCTTGCGCAGGACCGCCATCAGCTTTTTCAGGAGGTCCTCGTCCATCCAGCAGACCCCTAGCCAGGGGTTTGTTTGGTTGCCAGGCACATGCAGCAAGAGCAGGTGTTGTAGAAGGTGCGCCTTCGGGCGGAATTGAAAGAGCTTTACCGCCTCGCCACGGTGTTGCAAGTGCAAGGCAACATATGTCTGCATGAAGATCTGGCCCACCGTCTTGACCTGCTCAGCTTCGGCGTCGGTGAGGAAAGGAGAGGCTTGGGCAGCAGAGGCAAGCAAGCCAATCACATTGTTTGCCGCCCACACGCAAGTGCGAAGCAAGTTGTCGCCGCAGTCACGGCCATCAAGAAGGTCTGCAAGCCAAAGCAGCACGGAGCTTGTGCGGGAGCCTTTGTCACGAAGCGAGGCAAATGTGCCAGACTTCCAATTGAGCTTGGGCTTGGAAAAGGACCATTTCCGCGGAAGCTTTGCTAAGTTGCTTTGCTCGATCCATCGCTTAAATTGAGCTGTGGCGGCTTCCATGCGATCTGCCTGGTTTGGGCCTGCAAAGAAGCCTCGCACTCGCAATAAGATTACAAGGACGCTCCCTGCCAGATCCCTCCCGGTTCCAAGGAAATACACATGTAAGGGGTCGGGCCAGATCCAGGATGGGTTGAAGCCGCGGAACGCCGCCAATGCCGGCTCTTGGCTCCAAGGAGGGCTGTTTGGATCTAACAGCGTCTGACGCCAAAGCGCATCAGGACCCACATCAGTGACTGGGGCTGCCAAGGTTTTGCTCCCCATGCAAAGATGACAAACCAATTTCCGGCCATATGACCGTGTCAAGCAGCAACTTTGCACGTGGAACTTCCAGTCGCCTTTCAAGCCGACGACCTCGCAGAAGAGCTGCTCCCCATTGTGGTGGACCCCTTTTTGGGCGAGGGCGCAAAGTGATCTGACCACGCACTTGATGGCCTCCTGGAGCGTCACATTGATTTGCCCACGGATAACGTAATGAGTCTTGGGGATCAAGGTGATGACGTGTCGGCTGAATACCGAGTCAGAAGCTGCAGGGCACACAGCACTCTGCCAAGTCAGAACCATCCAGCTCGTGCCAATGGCATTAGCTTCGTCACCGTAGAGCAGGAGTGGCAAAGCAGCTTCGTGAGCCGGAGCGCGCCCTAGGCGCACCCAGTACTCTTCAGGCAGCTCGCCAAGGATGGCGCGAAAACCAGTTCGTAGCAGCGCGTGGGCCTCAGGAAAGAGACGTCGCACACACAATCAGCAGGCGCTACGGGGCCCCAGCAAACTCATGCGGCAACAGAAATGGCCAGCTTTGCACTGTCACAAAGCCATCGCCATCCAGCATGGGGAGCTCTTGGAAGGCTACGGGGGCGTCAAGCCCCAGAGACTGTGCCTCGAGCCTGGGGCACGCTTCCAGACACCGAAAGTCTGGCAGCCACTCGAGCCTGCGGTGCACATGGCGTTCAGAGGTCGTCGTGGCGCCCCTGCACACGTCCACTCAGAAAATTAACACGCGCGCAGGCAGGTCAGATCCAGCCTACTCCAGGCTTCAGACTTATACAAGTTCCCCAAGTCGGAGGCAAGCGCTATGGAGCTTCCACCCGAGCCCACTGCCGAAGCCAACCTGGCCAGCGTGATGAGAACTTAAGGTCTGCTTTGCAAGGAACCTCTCGTCCAGCTGTCGCCGGACATCTTGAGGTAGGCCGGAAGATGCACCGCTAGTACCTGACAGAACAATCGATCAACACGAATGTATACTGATCATGGACAGTGCTCTTGCTGGAAACCAAGAGCATACAATTGTTTATCTCCTCTCGCTTTGCTGCAATCGGTTCAAACCCCGGCTATCTTTTAGACAGCGCTCCCACCGTGAACCGTTGCAGCTGAACAATGGAGCAAGGCTAAGGGGCACAGGGAAGGCAAGAGGTGAACATCATGAGCGCTGACTGTACAAGGGACACCAAGGCAAACCAAGCGCCCCGGCATGCTCCAACTCAACTGCGCACGCAGTGCGGTTATACCAAACGGCCCTGGTCAGGAAAAAGCTCACTGCTCATAGCCCCTGGCGTGCGAAAATGAATTGGCGCGACTTGCGCGAATCAGAGAAAGCCAGGCCAGCAAGGCTTGCGAAGCTCAGCCAGCACCGCGCGAACCTGTACTTTGACCATGCGGACGTCCACAACCTCACAAAAGGTGGGTCAATCAAAACGTGAGGCGCGGTGAAGCAAACGGCCTTCTGCGTGACCAGCTTGACCGCCTTCTGAAGGCTTGTCTCGTCCCGGATGCCCACCAAGCTGGAGCATCAAATTTGGCAACAGCGCTCTATTCCGGATTGGGCACCAAGCCTGTTGAAGACGTCAGTCAGGTCTTTGTGACAGCTCTTGAGGTCTTTCACAAAGTCACTGCCTTTCGACATGCGGTGCACACCTTCCAGATCGAGCAGGGCGCTGTTCACTGAGTTGAACTCTTTTTTCAGCTCAGCGCCTGGGGCAAGACGAGGCCGCAAACAACGCGCCAAGGCAGCACGTGCGTAATATTTAAGTCAGGCGCGGATCACAGCAACCTTGTCCTCCAGCGACTTCTTGCCCTCCAGACGGATGATCTGCTTGTCGCCCGTGGACTTCGGGCCACTCTTGGCCTTCGCTTTTGGCCGTCTTTGTGACGACGGGTCAGCACCTGCTGCGCCAAGCTATAGCTTTGGAAGACGGGTCCACGTACAGGTTTGTACACAACTTTACAAAGAAGAATCCCTGTCGATGAGAAGACAAGACCCCTGATTTTTTGCAAACAGCTTTGAGCACAGAGAAGTTCAGACATGCATGTCAAACATCAAGCGTGCAAGGTCATGCGTGAGCCATGCCATCAAGCCATGAGTGGGCAAGCTACCAAGATATGCGTGGCCAAGCCATGCATGAAGCCATGCATGGTCAAGAGTGACGTGTTCAAGCCACAAAGCTACACGTGGTCAAACTACTAAACTATACACAATGAGTGGTCAAGAGTGGTCAGCCATGCGTGGTTCAAGAAACAAGACATGTGTGGTCAAGCCATCAAACTCGTACAGGAGCAAGACAGATCAAAGGCACCCAGGCCAATCTACAGATGAAGGGAACAAGGGTCCAGCCTGCGTTGGCTGCGTTGGCCGAGCCCTTCACGAACTCCATCACAGCATCAATTGCCGGCGCGCTGGCGCTTGGGTCGCGAGGGGCTGCTAGGGCCTCAAGCCGAGGTGGGGCTGCCAAGTAGGTGGACAGGGCATCCTGCGCATCAACCTCACCTTGCAGGGTGGCAGACTGTTCCACAGACTCCTGCTCCGTGCGGCTGCAACTCGTTTGCACCCAGTACTGCATGTCAGCCGCGCTGGTGGGAGCGTCAAGATCTGGCACCCCCCCCCCCCTTCCTGACAATGGCTTCCACCTTGGTCCTGGGCTGGGTGACATACATGAGCGCCGTTATGTGCCAAACATGCGCGCAGCAGACAGAATGCCAAGCAAGCGGCTCCGACATGCCTCTGGCGCGCATCTGGGCCACCGTGAGCAACTCGCTCTTCCGCTTGTGGGCCTGGCTGGACTTAGCCTGCAAAGAGAGCGTGGCCTCCATGCGCTCAGCGTTCTCGCCCGACTTCACCCACTTGACCAAGAGGTCATTTTTGGCGTCCCGGCCGCCAGCTGCAAACATGGCACTCATCTGCGGAAAGCGTGGTGCTCGGCCACCTTTAACCAGGCGCTGCAACCTCATGTAAGCGGAGCGGTGCGTCGTTGAGTTGATGACGATGTCCTGCGCAGGGGCCTGGCCTGACTGAGTTTTGGCGGATGGCGACTGGAGATCCAGGCCATCCGCGGCACCCTCTGTGACGAGCTTTTTCTCTGACGAAGTGGGGCTGGGAGAGTCCCAGGGGCACCTACAAACGCATTGGCAGAACTGCCTTCTCTGAAAGCGGAAGCTGAGGCGCTCGCCGGCTATCCTGCCACGAAGGCAGCTGGCGGCGAAGCTGTTCCTGTCCAGCTGCTAGGGTGTCCATCGACCTGGACGTGGTACGAAAGCACAATCAGAATTTGTACATGGTTAGAGGCCAGCGCTCCAGGCGCTTCAAGTCCGGCTTCTCCAGGGGCGGCGTCTCCTCCTCACAGTCCACAACCCCGCCCAGCGTGGCGGCAAGGGGGCTCGTGGCCAGCAAGTTCAAAACGTTTGGCTGACCTCGGCGCAGGGCGGCTGGCTGAACAGACTTCTGCGCGGCCACAGCGGCCACTATTTGCTGCAAGGCAGTCTGGCCACCAGGGGCTGGACCCTTTTGCAAAGGCTGGCCGGGCGTCGGCGCTGCAGGCTCAGTGGGCTTGGCCAGCTTCGAGCTTTCAGCTGGAGCCTGGTGGTTTCCTTCTGGCCGGTTTTTCAAAGCCTTCAAAGGCTTCCCATTCGCATCCACAGCCTTGGCCTGGGTCTCGGGCTGCTGGCTGTCCTCATCCTGGACGAGGGTGGGGGCAACTTCCAGCGCCGTCTTGGCTTTGGCCTTCGACTTGCCGCAAGCTTTTGGTTTGGCGGCTTGCTTGGCCTTTGCTTTGGCGGCCGGCTTCTGCTTCTTTGCGGGCTCCTGCTCCTGAAGCTGAGGACCATCAGCAGGCCGCTTCCTCACGCCAGCCAACATCTGCTCGCACTGGCTTACTGGGAGGCCAGTGGCCTCAGACAAGGCGTCAGCGGTCGGTGCAGCTCCAGCTGCTTTCAAAGCCTGCAAGGCCTCCATGGCAGCTACGATTGACAACTGCTACGAACAAAAGACTTGAGAGCTGGTGTGGAAATATGTGCAAAATGAATTCACGAAATTCACGGGCAGATATCGCCTTTTGGGGGTCAGATAACGCCGAAAACACGGATTTTCACGCCAAGAGTTTTCGAAGATCAAGCTGCCAGATTTTCGCAGGCAAAGTGCAGGATACGCTACTGATCGCTACTGAGCAGACTCTATACACTTCTTTGCGGCTGATTGCAGCAATCCATCCCAAGCACCTGGAGGGTGCAGCTTGCTGGATTTCAGCAAATACTTCATTACATCTTCCAAGTTGGCCTTCGTGTCAGGGCCCGAAGGCAGGCTAGCAGCAATCAAGCAACCAAGGCCTCTGACCAGACCTCGTGAGCAAAGTTGAAGTCACAAGCCTGGAAAAGCAAGAGAGGCCAGCAGTGAGGGTGCACAACTGGCACGCCTGAAACAGTTCGAGGTCTGTTTTTGTCATGTCCACTTGCGCTGGCCGGACAGAAGCCTCAAGCGCTGCCTGCGGGGACATGCATGAGCAAGCAACCCTTCCAGACATCAACTTCCACCTGGCGACCACAATCTTCAAAGGCTTCACGCAGGAGCACAGCTAAGTGCTGGCCGAAGGCATACGCGTAAGCCCTGAAAATCACGCGGCATGCGTGGCGACAATGGCATGAGTGGCACAGTGAGTGACAACCAACAATTGCAACGTACATGAATGGCAACCGTGCGCAGTGACAAGCCAATGAGTGCAGCAGTTGCTGCCCAGGGACTGGCTCTGTTTGAGGGCGCTGCCATCTGCAGACCAGGAAGTCGATCCATCAGGCAGCTTCCGCTTCTTGCACAATGGGGCGCCAGAAAACCGCACAGAACGGTCAAGGTGTCCAGCAGCAGCATGCATGCGCGTTAGCAGCGCCGGATCGTTGGAATACAGCCTTTGTCTTTTGGGTGTGCTGAAGCCAAAGAAGAAGAGGCCATGCCAAATGCCACAACTGTGCACTACAGCTGCGTCGAACAGGATGCTGAGAGCTGGATGCATGGCCGCCATGCTTCCCTCTGGCTGCTCGATCAAAATTCGAAGACCCCTCGAGACCGCGTAGAGCAAGAGCAGCATTGTGCGAACTGCAAGGAAGTTCCCTAGCGCCACGCTGCTGTACGCACGGTTTCCAGATGGAAACAAAGCCGTTCGCTGATGAGTGCCTTTGTTCCTTGGAGATGAAAAAGGCAAACAATCACAGCACCTACTGTCAGGCCCAGGCGGGGCACAGAAGCTCGAGCAAGGCAGCGCTGCAATCACAAGCGCTCCTCGGCGACATCGGCGGACTTCATTGAGAGCAGACCTCAGCGTCTACATCTGGCAAGGCCAACTGGAAAAACCAGGCACGGGCAGAAAACCTGCAGGGGTTGTCAGGTCGAAGCTGCCCGGGCGCAGCTGCAAGTCTATGTCAATGCTGGTCCCCCTGAAGCCCGCCTGCTCACATCA